AGGATGTCATCTGAGTCTATAAGGAAGGAGGTGATGAGGACCAAGGAGATTTACGTCGAGGAACTTAGCCACTTTGGTCAGGATGAGAGCTGAATGCTATGATTACATCTGTACTTCTTCATCCAGAAATCTTATCGCTAAGCATGTATTCTTGATTAACAGGGTTCAATCTTAAGGGGTTGGTTGATGCTGCTCAGAATTATCACACAGTTCTTGAAGAAAATAGGAAGTTGTACAATGAAGTTCAAGATTTGAAAGGTTAGTCAGATGGAATGTGAAAAACATAGTTATTTAAGTGCAGCATGGTTTTTCCCTAACATAATGTCATTTTGTGATAGGTAACATTAGAGTTTACTGTAGGATAAGGCCATTCCTTCCTGGTCAAAGCCAAAAATTGACAACCATAGAGTACATTGGTGAGAATGGTGAACTGGTTGTTACTAATCCTTCAAAACTGGGGAAAGATAGTCACCGTCTTTTCAAATTCAACAAGGTCTTTGCACCTGCTGTTACTCAAGGTTTGATAATTTTGTTTATCTTGATATTTAGATTAAGTACCTAATATAGAAGCATCCTTTACTTTCATCTTGATGGAGAATAAAAGAAAGACATTACGTTTTTACAATGCTTGCCGTTTTCTAACTCTATCATATTTCAGAGGAGGTGTTTCGAGACACTCAGCCATTAATCAGGTCTGTTTTGGATGGGTACAATGTTTGCATCTTTGCTTATGGTCAGACTGGTTCCGGAAAAACATATACCATGGTATGCCTATCTTTAGAAAATTTGTTTAGTAGATACCAATGGCTATTCACTCCTACTTATCCTAGTCCATTTTGATCGCCTTCAGAGTGGGCCCAGCATGTCATCCGTGGAGAATTGGGGGGTCAACTACCGAGCTCTGAATGATCTATTCAACATCTCCCAGAGTAGGAAAAGTTCCATTGCATATGAAGTTGGTGTTCAAATGGTTGAGATATACAATGAGCAAGTGCGAGACTTGCTCTGCAGTGATACTTCTCAGAAACGATATCCTTGTTAAAAAAATCTATTTGTGTTGTTTGATACATTGGCTGTTTTCATTTTCTATGTTCATGTTATACATATTTATTTCCGTGGATCATTAGTGCTATATTTTTAAGTTTTCATTTTCAATAGTTAGTGGAAATGTCAGAAATATGTTATGCCATATGTTTCCTGATGTTTTCTTTAACTTGCGCACACTTGGGATTTGGAGTACTACTCAACCCAATGGATTAGCTGTCCCTGATGCTAGCATGCATCCAGTCAAATCAACTGCAAATGTCTTAGAATTAATGAATATTGGCCTAATGAATAGAGCTGTTGGCGCTACTGCTTTAAATGAAAGAAGTAGTCGGTCACATAGGTCATCTCTTGTACTAACACTTCTTATCTCAATTCTGAACTTTTTTTCTGTTTGTACATCATGCTTATTTTAACTCATTATGATGCAGTATCCTCACCGTTCACGTGCGCGGTATAGACTTGGAAACAAATGATATTCTACGAGGCTGCCTACATTTGGTAGATTTGGCTGGCAGTGAAAGAGTAGATCGCTCTGAAGCCACAGGGGATCGTTTACGAGAAGCACAACATATAAACAAATCATTATCTGCTCTTGGGGATGTGATATTTGCATTGGCGCAAAAAAGTTCTCATGTGCCATATAGAAATAGCAAACTAACACAAGTTCTTCAAAGCTCCCTTGGTAGTTAAATATATTTTCTGTGTTGATTCAAATTTAAATATTGTTTTACTCTGTAAATAAGTTTTACTTCTCTTTCCTATTAAAGCCTTTATTTATTTTATTTCACTCATCTCATGTTACAGGAGGCCAGGCAAAGACACTTATGTTTGTACAGCTCAATCCTGACGTAGAATCCTACTCAGAAACCATTAGTACCCTAAAGTTTGCTGAGAGGGTGTCTGGAGTGGAGTTAGGTGCAGCTCGGAATAATAAAGAAGGCCGGGGTGTTAAAGAGCTTATGGATCAGGTACCTGACAACACGTTCTAGTAAATATCAAAACCTCAGTAGATAATGTTCTTCTAGTTGCTCCTACTTTTTCTCATTGCCTGCATCTATAACTGTGCTGTCTACTTATTTTTTATGAATCCGACATCACACTTTGTGCATCTATGATTAAGACCCATTTTAATTCTATCTTGTACGCTTATCTCTTCTCTAGAGTACACGAGATTTATGATGCTTGCAATGTTCCTATTTTCTTTGCTATGGTCATGTACAAAGTATTGCTGGTAAATTTTCAGGTAGCTAATTTAAAGGACACAATTGCCAAGAAGGATGAAGAAATTGGGCGGCTGCGGGTTCCCAAAAATAGTGGTAACGGTGAGAGGCGTAGTGTGAGCTCAACCAGGCATAGCTCTGCCTCTCCAAGAAGGCAATCTTTAGGCGATCCACGAACAAACCAAATTTCTGGAGAGAGAAGCTCAAAACCTACTCAGAAAGCTGCTTCTGACGTGGACAATAGTTCTGAATACAGCGACAGACAATCTGACACTGGTTCTCAGCAATCAATGGATGACTTTAGGCATCACAGAGATTTCTTTAGACAATCCAGGCTTGCTGTAGTAGATGCTGATCTAAATCTGGGTGAACACACTAATTCAAGGGCTACTGCGAGAGGAAGTCAAAATCCTAACGAAGATGTGGTGCTTATTGGGTTTGATGATGCAGATTCTGAAGAGAGATTAAGTGACATATCCGATGGTGTACTCTCAATGGGAACTGAGACTGATGGTTCAATCAATAGTATTGTAGAGTACACTCTTTTCCCAGAAACTACAAAGCCACCTCCAGAGACCCCTGAGAAGTGAGTATTCTACAAATATGACATATCTGATTATCATTTTGTCCAGTCTTGCCTTACAATTAGATAACTTTTTTCTTGAATGTTGACTCACTCATGGAATCTCTAATTCCCATTTCCCTGTGATGACCTCAGGTTGATATATCAGCATATCTTGTATCTTTGTGTTAAATTTTGCTTTACCTGCCTTTGTATTAGCATTTTTCCTTATTTCTTTTTCCTTTTTTCATCTCTTGATCCATATTTTGTCTTCACAGAAAATCGACATCAGGTTACATTCTGAATAAGCATTTCTTATAGTTTAAAGTCACAATTCCTGTTTCCAGTTTAAATGTACTTCATGACTCTTAGATCACATCTCTTCTTAGTACAGTATAATGTCGAAGATAGCTTATAGTTGTTTGGGAAAAGCAGAATGCCAAGAGTTCCTGTTGAACTCGTTGTTAAAGACACCCAGGACACTCATCAAATTTAAAATGACTATTACTTATCTCTTTGCTGGTGAATGATCAGGCCCTCAATTATACCTGCTAAACTTCCACGGCCTACACAAAAGACGGTGCAAACAGGATCTTCTCGGATGTCACTGAAGAAGAGCACCCCTAAAGTCCCGAGTATGTGATTCTCATATGTTCTTAGTGTTTGCCTTTATTTCCCTTCTTTGTTAATACTCTCAAGAGTCGAGTTAGAGAAGAGAAATGACAATCAATGGTTCACTATTTCCTTCTTTCTGAATCATTCCAACTTTTTCTCTTTTCCGCTTTTCAGGTTCTAAAAAACCTCCTTCCGGAAACACTTCTGCAGTTAGGTCTTCCAAAAGATGGCAATAGTACAGACATTAAATTGTCGAAGAGGACAGACACTTGACGATCCTTCTTTGTAGATTAGACTGTAGACACGATTGTTGTGTCATCTTCCATTGCTGTGGAAGATGTGTAGGAACTTCAGCTTGTAGCAAACTGCACTGATCAGATTGAATTTCTTTAGGTGTATTTGCTCCCTGCCTCCCCCTACTCGAAGTGAAGGAGTAAAGGAGGGCGGCGTGGGGTTTGACATTGTGTAGTGTGTACATGTAGCTCTCTTTATGAACTTGCTGATGCATTTTTAGGCTATGAAATAGTGTTGACTGATAACTTATGTTTGATTATGATGCTTATTGTGAAAGGAAGATCATGCTTGCTTTTGATTATTGTTTTGAGCACTTGCTAAAGAGCAAGAAAAGAAATCACTCATATCACAATTGGCTCTTGTTATGCCTGAGCCTTAGTAGATAAAGTTACTCGATATTTATATAGATGAGAAATGACATGCATTAAAAAAAAAAAAAAAGCTAGCTCGAACACCACTATTATATAAATGCTCTCAATTTCCTCTTTTTTATAATTTTTTTTTCTATTGGCTTTGATATGCATAAATTGGAAAATTAAATTACTCTACTTCAATTTTAAGAATAGATAGATCTCAAAAGAGATAGATGTAGTTTGGATGTTGGAAGAAGTTTTGAAGATAAAATAGTACAATGCTTTCTATTAGCAAACAAGTCTGGGTGGTGTAGTCGGTTATCACGCTAGTCTCACACACTAGAGGTCCCCGGTTCGAACCCGGGCTCAGACATCTGTTTTTCAAGTTCGATAAATGTTGTTTTTTATTATTTTGATGAGAATCACATAATTAATACCGAAAGCTTACTGACATGAAAAGTTGGATAAGTATTGTTTTTTTAGTTTGATGAGAATCACATAACTAATATCGAGAAAAATCCTTCTAAGATGAGAAGTTTAACAAGTGTTGTTTTTAGTTTGATTAGAATTACATAACATATATCGAGAAAGCTCTTACTAAGATGATAAGTTTGATAAGTGATGTTTTTATAATAAATGAGAATCACATAACTAAAATCAGAAGCCCCCTACTAAGATGAGAAGTTCCATAAATATCAATCTTTTTCAAGTTTGTAAACGTCATGTTTTAGTTTGATGAAGAATCACATAGCTAAAGTCGAAAGCTCCTAAGTAGATATATGTCATTTTTTTTGTTCCTTGAGAGTCACATACTAATCGAAAGCTCCTACTAAGATGAGAAGTTCGATAAACAAACATAAGCTTTCAAGTATAAAGGAGGAAATATGAACATATCATATATGTCAAAACTCATACATCATTGATGCAGCCTTTTTGTTCCAACTCTTCTATTTTCTTACAAATCTCCAATCCCTTTGTTTCTGGCAGAAAAACAACCAAACACCCTGCAATTGCTGTTATAATGCCAAGAACCAAATAAGCTAGAATCTTGTTGTTACTATCCCCTCCTGCATCAACCAAAACCGGGCTCACCACGCCCCCGAGGACCACAGCCTGCCATACAATTGACACTGCTGCATTCCTTATACTAGTATGGAACAGCTCTGAAGTATATATCAGCAACAGATCAAATGCAGTACAAGCACTGAAAAATGAAGTAAACTCCAACACCATCTGTAAAACCTTTCGTTCACTCACGATCATACATAACATACCACAAACACCAGATACAACACTTAGTCCAACTAATGTACTTCTCCTCTTACATTTTTCAGCCAAGAAAAACACTATCAAGAATGATGGTAACTCTAGTAACGCGTTTAGTCCTGTACTCAAGTAGAGATTTAAGCTAAAGTTTCCATTTCCTAGTCCTAATGGCATCCCATAGTACATCAATCCAATGCCAAAACCAGCTACTACAGCTAGTAATAACTGTCCAAGAATCGATTTTTTCCTCAACAAAATCTTGATCAGAGGTGGATCAGAACCTCTCATGGTAGTAAAACTCAACTTGTTATGATCAAGATTCGATCTTTCGTTCTTGAAATGGGATGTGTTGAGAACTGCATAAGCCTCTATAACTTTCCCTTTTGAAAGAAGCCATCTTGGAGACTCATAAACACAAAACTGTATCAACAAACAGTAAACTATAGCAGGAAGAGAAGTCGAAAGATAAAGTACCCTCCATGAGTAATCCTTACTAAAATAAGCTAAACATGGTAATGACACAAATCCAAATGTAGACATAAAGAACCCTATAGTTCCAACTTTCCCTTGATATCTTTTACCAACACTCTCAGAACACAACACAAGTACAGAGGAACCAATCGCAGCGCGACCATATCCACTAACAAATCTCAAGGCAGAGTACATCCAAACATTGTTACAGAAAGCAATGAAGATTGAAGCTATAGACATAATCAAACACCCGAAAAACAACATGGTTTTTCGACCAATCGAGTCACCTAACACACCAAGAACAAGGCCACCAAGCAAGCACCCCATGAAAAAAGATGAAGCAGGAAGACCTTGAAGTATAGAACTAGTAAAACAATGAAGTGACCATTCAGACACAATGGATGTGTAAATAGGCTTATCCCAATCCCATTCTGTTAAAGAAAGTTGACACACATTTGACATTGAATTGCAACTTGTGTTAGTACTAACACAATGCCATGAAGGGATTGCATCAGTAAAAATTGTGATGAATGTTTGTTGAGCTTCAAAGAAACAAGCTAGAGAAACAAGTATGACTTGCAAGACTTGTGGCCATGCAATTTTTCCATTACAAGTATCAAAAAATGGCTCTATTGTTTGTTCAAGTGAAGAAAAATGATCATTAAGATATGGGAATTCTTGATCTTGATGATTTGAGAGTAAAGGAGTTGTTGAATTAGCCATTAGAATTTGGGATGTGAATATTGACTGCTTCCTCCTAGTTATATTTATACAAGTACTAACACATTATAACATGATCGGAATAACATCTGCGTTCACTCTACTTTTCAAACTCGACTTGTGGATTACATAAGATATGTTATTGTACACTATTTCGATTTCCGCAAAATTATGTTATGAGAGACTTGATTGTTTAAAAAAATTCAATGTATTGGTTATTACATTATTTCTTAATATATAAAAGGAATGTCTATTTTCCTTATAGATACTAGGCTAAAATGAAATTAATATTATATAATTAATATAGATTCTAAACTTGGAAGAAAAATAAATTTTCTTTAGAATATTCCTAAACTAGAAGATATTTCTTTTTTTATAAAAAGATATTTTTAGATATATTTTTAATGTTAATTATGTTTTTTTAATATAATGTTAGTGCATAGAATTTAACTCGTAAAAAAAAAGATGAAATTGTCGACTTTAATTAATTATGAATATCAATTTATTCATGCTTCTCATGACTATTAAACAAAGGGAATTTTTTCCAGAAAACAAATTTGGTCAAAGATTTTTGGTGAATTGTTTCTGATTATAATTATTAAGTACTTTATACTTCTCAGTGGGAATGAAAAAGCAAAAGTTAAAATTCAAAATGTGAAGAGTTGATTATGTATCTGCAATAGGCACTTAAACAAATCTAATCATGCTTCACGAGCCAAAAATTTCATTAATTTATTTTAATTATAATGGAATTTAAAATATTCAAAGAACATAGGGACATTGAATAATGAAGTCAACTAAGAACTAAATTACTAAAATAGATCGTAGTGGGCGATAAAAAATTCGTTATTTTTAATCAAAGACTTTATATTCGAGTCTCAAAAATGAATTTGTTTTAAATAAGAAAAATGTAATCTTTTAAATTGAATTCAACAAAAATTTAAATAAGTTGAGCTTCAAGTGGATAAGAAAAGTTGATGTGATATTAAAAGCAAAAACTAAGAAATACCACGTAATAAAAAGTATGACCTCATTGAGATCGTAGATGAAACTTGGCTTTGTGATAAATCGATAAGCCTAATACGTAAAATTGAGCTTTAATTTGACTTTAACTGATATCTACGCTTTTCAATTTTAAATATGCACAAGTATACATTTACACTTAAATAGATACACACATTATATATGACAATCTGCATCCTACATAATTATGTCACATATGACATATATATTTATTTTTTAATTTTATATATAAATTTAAATATTTATTCGTACTCAATTAAAATTGAAAAATATAAATATAAATATAAGTTGAGATAAAATTAAATAAAATGTTTATAATTATTTCAAATCAATACAATCTGAAAAGAAATTCGATTATGATAATTTGATCCATTTGCTATTGAAGAATAATGGAGATTCATATGAACTTGTTAAGATCCAGACTGAGAAATTAATTAATCATCCACGTGGTAGGGTTATAACACCCTTCAAATTAATGCAAGTATTAAGACAAGATTATAGTTAATAATAATAAATTAGAAATCACTAAGTAATAAATTAGTTTTAATTAGTCGTCTAATAACTAAACATCAATTTTTTTGTATATGATAGAAAGTAAAAATGGACAGTAGAATATGTTCATTGAATATCCACTATATTTATGTACTATAATTGAGGGAATTATAAAGTAAAAGCTTGTGTCTAGTGTATTATGTGATAAAGAAAGTATCACCCGAAGTAAGTTTTATAAAGAGGTTGTTATATTAAATATATTATACGAGGCGTTAAATGTAGATCAGTTAAGAATTTGGATATTTAAAAGATGAAATAATGAAATTAAAAAGTTGTGATGAATATGTGAACGTATTAGGAGAGATAAAATTAGGAAATTCAATATTCTAGGCAAAATAAGAGTAACCTATATGATAGACAAAATGAGATAGAGATGATTCGAATATTCTAGGCAAAATGAGATAGAAATGGTTCAAACATGTAAAGAGAAAATGCACATAGATGTCCCTAAAAAATTGGCGATGATGGATCATAGAAGCATAGAGGGCTTTAAAAGTATTTAAAAGAGATGATTATACATGACATGATACACCTATATCTTATTAAGAACATGACTGTAAAAATAAAAATATAATAATCAAGAATCACCATAAAAAACTAGTAGTGAATAAGATGTTAGGGAAATTTCACAATCTATAATATTAACTAGTTTTCTTGTACTATCTTATACTTCAATTTTATTGTTATTCATTATTTTTTTTTATTTTGATTATCATATTGTTTATTGTTATTGATATTTATTTTCTTCACTATTTATATTTATTCGATAAATGTATAATATGTATTTGTGTTATAAAGTTTAATTTTGAAGTTTTTAAACCTTATTAAATTACTTAACAGTGTTCCTATCTACAGAAACACACAATTTCTCTTTTTCAATCCTCCAAAGTTGCAGTTTTTAGAGAGATTTTAGCTCAACAACTCATGTTAAACAGTGGTACAACTCAAAAAGGTTATCAAGATTACTTTTTTTTGAGTTCTGTGTTGAATTTTTTAGCTTTGGTAGTTCTTTTTTTTTTTTTTTGTATGTAATTGAGTTCTGTGTTGATTTTCTGGGACTTTCTTGAATTTGGGTAAATGAAAAATTCATTTTTTTTCTCTGAATTCTGTGTAAACCCAAATTTGTAGGGTTTATGGTATGCTAAAACCCTTAATGCAATTCCATTTTTATGCAGATGTCTGTTGTAAATCAACAATTTTTCAACCCCATATGGAAGCCATGTGTTTCTTCATGTCCATTGTTAGCTGCACAGTTTGTTGTGATGCCAATGAGTAATAGAGAGCTTTCTGTTGTTTCCACCATTGCTGCTGCAAAATCTACAGCTTCGATTGGTGAAGGAAATGATGATTATGTTGATATTAGTAGTGGGAAAGCAGCAGCCAAAGGGTCGGGTACTACGGCGAGAGGAAGGAGGTTGTTGAAGGTTAGGGAGGAGAAGAGGAAACGGGAATATGAACGTCTTCACAATTACCCTGCTTGGGCAAAGTATATCTCTTAACTACTTTGCCTATTTGATGCTATATTGTGTGTTTATATGTATTTGTTCTGTCCCACACAAATGGTTTACCTGTAACTAGTTGATACCCCCATGAAAAAGTGATCATATAGGAATGCTTTAGAGGTAGAATACACTTTGAATTTTGATAAATGCGTTGCTTGTGAAGTATGTGTCCTTGAGTGTCTTATAGATTTACCCGCTATTTGATGTTTTATGTATTCGTTGTGTTAAAATGGTATTTGATACTTTCATGATTACCATATATATCTCACACAAATCGTTTACTTGTAACTAATTAGTATCTCTAAGAAAAATAATCACATAGGAATGCTTGCGAGTCCGAATACTTTGAATTTGAGAAATGCATTGCTTGTGAAGTATGTGTGCGTGTATGACATATTGATTTACCCTTTGTTAGTTGGAAGTTGGAAGCCAGACAAGCTAGAGTGCTAGAGTCCATGCAACGTTGTTGCCATTAGGATTCCAACATTGATTTGATCTTCACTTTTACTTCATCTGTGTCCTTGAGATTGACTTGTTTATGTTAAAAATGCTATTTTTAGAGTGTTGGAAGATGCCTGTAAACATGATACAGAGCTTCGTGCTGTGCTTGGTGATAGCATTGGAAATCCAGAGCTTATGAGGAAAAAGGTAGGTGTAATTTTTATTTGGGATTTTGAGTTAGGTTTGACAGACAGACATTTGCAGATACTCCACATTTTCGTTGATTTCAGTTCGCTTTAGATTTCGATTTATGACTTCCAATTGAAATCTGCTTGTTTCCTTTTCTCCATTTTGATAGGTCGAAGAGAGAGTTCGAACAAAGGGCCGAAATTTTCAGAAGTCTAAAACAGGATCAGTTCTTGCATTCAAAGTCAGCTTTAGAGAGTAATTAAATTCTGACCAAACTTGATGCTTCTTCTGTTTTCTCTCCAAATTTTCTTTTCCTATCACTATCTCCTAGATATATGAATAGCATCCAGTGGCCAAATTCCTTCAAAACATAATCAAGTGAAGTTTTTAAAGTTCCTTGGTAAAATGTGATTTTTTTTTGTCTATTTGATCTGTAGCTGTTTGTTCTGTTTAACTAGAGTAAATAAATGAAGCAGAATTTTGGGAAGAATAACCAGTCTAGGTCGTAGTGTTCTTTTTCATCGTCAGGAGTTCACTTCTTATGTAGTCAGACTTGTGGCTGAGCTGCTAGAGCTTTTCCTGGGTTATTTTGTTTTAAAATAGAGGGGTTTTGTCAAATTTTTGTTTGTTGGATGGGCTAATACTTTCTTTAAAATCTCTATATGGTCTATCAGGGTTCAGGTGTCGAGTTTCAGCACAAACTTTAGAATACAGTTCAGGAAGTGTCTGTCATGTTTGTTTGACTTGACAATTATTCAATACGATGTCTCCAATTTGTTGTTCACATATCATATTTACCGATATTAGTAAGTTGCATGTGGTTTGCAGATCTTTATAGGTCATATTGTTTTAATGCAAATGTGTTTGGTATGAAAGAAAATGTTTTCTTGTTTTTAGTTTGTGATGAAATATATTTTGCAGAAAATTTCCTTCAAATTCCTTGCTATTTTGTTAAGATGCATATCACTTACAGCATTTTATTTGAATCGACAGTTTTAATCCTCTTGATTCATACATATGGTTTGAACTCTATGGCTCACCATCTGATCGAGACGTTAACATTTTCGGTAGTGTAAGTTTACTGCTTTCTTCTCTGTTCTCATATTACATTACTTCATGCTTTTTAGTATTTTGGGTTTCATAACTTGTAATATCTTGTGCTTCTATTGGCAGGTTATCCAGGCATGGTACGTCATGGGACGTTTAGGTGCATTTAACTCATCGAATTTGCAGGTGAGTTCACTGCTCAACATGGATTTTATTTAAAGTTTCTTTTTTTGCTGTTGTTAAGTGTTGTTCTTGCCATCGCTCTACTTCAGCAAATAACTAAACATTAAGTTTAGTACGTACAATCACATGCGTTTGAAAGTTTTCCTACTTTAAATCACGATGGTGTGCGGTCAGGTTGTAATTGTAGTAAGTTGTTGGTTCTATTCTTGATCATTTCATTCATTCATCCCCCTTTTATTATCATACATTACGAAGAATAGGAAGTTCCTCCACGTGATCGGAAAAAGGTATCATTTCATTCATTCATCCCCCTTTTATTATCGTACATTACGAAGAATAGGAAGTTCCTCCACGTGATCGGAAAAAGGTTCAAGTTTGTGTTAAATGAATGCAGCTGGGGGGTTCATCAATGGAATTCAATCCTCTCTATGATGCAGAAAAAGGTTTCAACGTGATGCCTTCATCATTCCATGACATAAGTAATGTTGAATTCCAGGACAACTGGTCAAGAGTTTGGTATGCATTTCTTTGCACTTTTTTTTTTCTTTTCCGATTAAACATATAATGATTCCTCGTAATTTGTAACACTACTCGTGTATGGCAAAACTTGCTTATATCAACTTGGTCATGTGCATAACAGGGTGGATCTTGGCACAGCCGATTTCTTCTCAATCGATGTTCTTCTCAATTGCTTAACGGTATTGAGCTCAGAGTAAGCACTCGATTCTCTAAGTGGTTTTCATCTTCTGAACGTAAAATGCTATGCTAACATATGTTGTTCACTATACAGATATGTAGGCATTCAACAAGTTGTTTTTGGTGGTCAGCGGATGGGTGATTGGGAAGAGGGAATGACCAACTCTGATGACGGTTACAAATACTTTGAAATTTGACATGGACGGAGTTATCATGTACCTGCAATGTTCAAGTTTTTCCAATTCGAAAAGAGATGAAGCTTTGTAGTACTATCCCTAACGATACGATAAATTTTGATCAGAAGTCTAATTAGTTACTGTAATTATCATAGTAGTGAACTTGGACGGAGTTATCATGCACCTGCAATGTTCAAGTTTTTCCAATTCGAAAAGAGATGAAGCTTTGTAGTACTATCCCTAACGATACGATAAATTTTGATCAGAAGTCTAATTAGTTACTGTAATTATCATAGTAGTGAACTTGTATGGTAGGAGAAATGGTTAATGTGTAGAGCTAATAATAGAAACATGTAATAACTTTCTGAATAATCCTGTATTATTATTACTAGAATCCTTTGTGTCTGAATATTATTGAAGTGGAATGGAACCATTTTAAATCTGATGAAATGATAAGTCTACTCAAGTCTAATGGCTAATGTATATGGCATAGAATCATTGATGCAATTCAGATTTCCTCAAGACTATCCATTCACAAACTTCAATTATCCATTCACAAACTTCAATGCTTTCGTGGAGTGTTCACAAGGATAGTGGCTGTTAGGCATGTATGAGGCATGTATGAATGCTAAGGAGAGGGTTCCATGCCTTGCATATTAACATATGCACCTTAAAGGAGCTCCCGTTGGGCTTTTCTTTTTTTGGTAGAATTTAAGTTTTCCAAAAAAAAAAAAATTAGTTTTTGAAAACTTAGGAAATATTTAAAAATCCCAAACACTTACATTTTATAAAAATAACCCATCTTCCTACTAATATATAGAGAGGAATAATTTGTTATTACATCCTTTGAAAAAGTTTGAATTCTAATTTAAAAAATAAAATTGAAAAAAGAAGTATAATTTTTTTTAATAGATTGTAATTATAACTGAATCAAACTAATATTTATCTACCATATATATTCATTATTTTTATTTAGTAACATGTCACCTACCACTCCATCTATCAACACATCACTCTATCTACAAATTTATTGATACTTTTAATAGTTTTTAGAACTTAGAAATGAAAATAGTATTTTTTTAAAATAGTCAACTATTTTTAGGGAAATTTGAGGCCAAACACAGGGTTTTAACTTGGGAAAATCTTGACCCAAATATTATTTGATAAAAATACTTGAGAATTCGAGACCCAACAGTAGCTAACTATTGAAATATTCCATCCATTTGAAATTGTAATTGAAATACAAGGTGAGCAAGTGGTATTCACTATTGTAATATATCTTCATATCTCATAATATATAGATAAAAAAAAATTTAAAAAATAAATGGTAACCAACAAATCAATATTTAAACCAAAAATCAATTAAAAATAATATCACTACAACGCTTTCTAACATAAATAATTTTTATCCTAATATGTCTAACAGATCTTTTTAAAAACTATTTTCAAATTTTAATTTTTATATATGTAAATGGTATCTTCATAAGATGAAAACTATGTAAATGACTAAATAAAGTTTTTTTTTAATAAACCCTAAAATAAAAAACATAAACCCCATGAGGTACAAAATGCACCAGAAATTTCTATCAAATTTTTCCTTTAAAAGAAAAAAAAAAGAGATGACAGTGACACTCTAGGTTCTGTCACAACTCATTGTTTTACCAATTATAGGACTATGGAAGCTGAAACATCCCAATTCTGAATTTGGTATTTTTTTTCTTCATTAACCCTACTAACTTGGGGCTGTCATGGGGGAAATTTGCATCCAATTTCTCTCTGATTTGCCCCAGGTGAAAGATGATTCACAGCATTCTTGGCACATTGTTTTCAGCTGCTACAAAACAGTCAATTTCATTCAGGTACTAGTAACTTTGTATTTGTATATGTATTGCTCATAGTGGGGTTGCTGATTAGCTGATAGAAAGTAGGGAAGAATCATTGAAGTCTTTGATGTTAATTGTGGGTCATTAAGACAATTCAAGAATGGACAATTTCTAGTTGGTTTTAGGAAAAGGTTTTGATTTTTATGAATGTTGTTGAATTTTGACAAGTATATTTGTATTTGTTTATGTATTTCTCATAATGGGGTTGCTGATAAACTGATAGAAAGTAGGGAAGAATCATTGAAGTCCTTGTTGTTAATTGTGGGTCATTAAGACAATTCAAGAATGGACAATTTCAAGTTGGTTTTAGGAAAAAGTTTTGATTTTTATGAATGTTGTGTTTTGACAAGTATAGTTGTATTTCTCATAGTGGGATTTGCTGATAAACTGATAGAAAGCAAGTAAAGAATCATTGAAGACTTAGTTGTTAATTGTGAATCATAAAGACATTCAAGAATGGCAATTTCAAGTTGGTTTGATGAAATAGTTTTGATTTTTATGAATGTCGTTGTATTTTGACAAGTATATTTGTATTTCTTATAGTGGGGTTTCTGATAAACTGATAGAAAGCAAGTAAAGAATCATTGAAGTCTTTTTTGTTATTTGTGGATCATAAAGACATTCAAGAATGGCAACTTCAAGTTGGTTTAAGGAGAAAAATTTTGATTTCTATAAATGTTGTGCTTTGAGAAGTATATTGTGTATTTATGTCTGTACTTCTCATAGTGGGGTTGCTGATAAACTGATAGAAAACAAGCAAGAATCATTGAAGTTCTTATTGTCCATTGTCGGTCATTGAGAGACAATTCAAGAATGGGCAATTTCAAGTTGATTTAAGGAAAATGTTTTTATTTTTATGAATGTTGTTGTATTTTGACAACTATATTTGTAATTTTATGTGTACTACTCCTAGTTTATTGTCGATGAACTGTGAGAAAGCAAGAGAAGTATTGAAATGGACAGTTTGAAGTTGGTTTTAGTAAAAAATTGACTTTTTAGTTTTGCTCAAGCTTGCCCAGACACCATGGGTATCAAAAAAAAAAAAGATAGTGGCCTTTTAGTTCTTAGGGATGTTTTTGTTCGGTGAGAAGTATAGTTTTAGGATGGAGAATTTCATTCTTGTATAGATTTTAGAGGGTTTCATTTTTTTCCCCTGTAAATCTTGATTTTGAAATTTGCAATTGATGTTACTGTTTGGGTGTAATTTGTTACTTCTTGATTGGCTATGTCCAGTTTGAAATTTATAATTTGACGTTATTGTCAGGTGTAATTTGTTACTACTTGATTTGTTGTGTCCAATGGAACTAGTGGCTTGGGACTAGTAAGAGGAAGGAAGCTTTGACAGGTAACGACACATCCTTTGTTTCTGTTCTACAACTAATTTTAATGAATTTGGTTAAAAATGCTTTGTCATTTATCTATTAACTTTGTGCCGTCATAGAAATATAGAACGGCAGGATCATAAGAGTAACTGAAATCGCTTGAAACACTTTTAAATCCTTTTCTCTCTATATTGTTCTCCTAACATGGTAAGTGTTACCTTTAGAAATTCTATTTAAGACGGGGATTTTTTTCTGGAAATTATGATGTTTATATAATACTAGTAGCTTTATTTATTATTTCAGAGCTTTGACGTGCATTGATTGTGACGAATTGATCATTTACAAAGTATAATGCATAACATCAAGCACACTTAATAGCTAATAGGCAATTGGTATTGCAATATCATTCAATGTGAAGGAGGATAGCTCAATATTGTGTGCAGTTTTTGAATCCAACCTTACAAACTTAAACTATAGCATCTGGTATAATTGGCTGAAGAACATCTTAGGCAGGACATGTACAGACATGCTTAAATGAACTTGCTGGATGATTTACTTGGTTTTGTTACTTTTTACACCAATTTGTTTGGTTTACTTTTAAGTTTTAATGATGTTTGTGTGCAAATAAACTAGTTCTTTTTCACATAATAATAATTTTAGTAATAATGCAGTTACATCCACATTGCAGTTGGCAATCTTCTAGCATTTTATATTTTGGAGAACATTTTAAATCATTGTGATAATATGGCTGGGGGAAGTCAACCACGCCAAAGTGACAAACCTTCAATCAGATACAGGTGTAATCTACTTGATGGGGCACTGTTTGAAATCACTGATTTAGACCGACAGAGTAATGCCCCTATTTCTTCTGGAAATAAGGAGAACCCTAAAAATTCTGACTCTGAATCTTCTAAGATAATGAGCACAAGTGAGCTTATATCAGCAGTTGGAAGTATATGGTGTTCTGCAGCTGGCCCTGTTACACGAATCCTATCTAAAGGAAGTTCTAGATGCAATAATACCGATCACCAAGAAAACAACATATTTGGTTACTCCACTGCAGATAAAATTTCTGGTGTTTGTTTTTCACCTCCTGATCACTCAATACCAGTCAATTTGGATAGTGATACAGATTCTTCACCTCTACTGCTTGCAAATGTGGAACGACTAACAGCGAACCAGAAAGTCTCATTCTTTGGTCCTCTCTTAGGGAGTTCTTCTCTGCAGAGTCTCCTCCATGACAGATCTACCATGCATCCAGAAAATCGGAAAGCAAAAGATTTCGTCAACTATTTACAGAATGTGTATGGTTGGATTCATGAAGCATCCTTACTGAAATTTAAGCAACAATTAAATTGTGCTAGTTTTGGATGCCCTGAAAACAGAAAATGTACCATAGAAGACATGACAAATAATCCTTTAAGTTGCTGCTCAGTTGTGGATACAGTAAATACTGATTGCCAGACTGACAGGGAAGAGCCAGATGGTTCATTGTTAAGTCAGATGGCAAAGCATGATGAGATCGACAGGGTGTCAACAGGCACTTCATCTATAAGGCACTATAATGAAGTTTTTCATGACAAAAAGTCAAACACACTAGGGATTTCACATTCCGAAAATAACTTAGTCTTCCATGAGTACTCGGTCACTCCAAGTTGTTCTGCTAGTGTACATGACAAAATTAATGCTAAGGATCACATATATGATTCTGCCATTAATGAAAAAGTAGAACTGGAGGAAGAGCTCAGTTCTGAAGTACAGAGATCTGTGGCAAAGGAAAAGCCTCTGTATGCACTTGCAAAACAAGAGCATGCTTTTGCAGGAGCAATGGCTGGAATTTTTGTCAGCCTTTGTCTTCATCCAGTTGACACAATTAAGACTGTTATTCAGTCATGTCCCAATGATCAGAAGCCACTTTATTATATCGGCAGATCATTCATTTCTGAAAGAGGTCTATTTATTTGAAGCTGCACATCACTTTTCAATATGAAAATTCCTTACATGCAATGAGATGCTTCTCTTTCTTAGAGCCTATGTTTAAACCTTTGAAATTGTTGGTCAACTTATCTCAGGAGTAACAGCACTTTATCGGGGAATTTCGACCAATCTTGCTTCGTCTGCACCCATATCTGCACTTTACACCTTTACATACGAATCAGTTAAAGGGGCCTTACTACCTCTTTTTCCTAAGGTGAATGTTTTGTGTTCTTCTTTTTCATCCTTTTATGTTAAACTTCTCCTCAGAATTTCTGTTTGCACTACCCAAGCAAGCCGAGAATGAATTGGAAAAAAAATTGAAAAGAGACTGTTAGGCTTGCGAAGTTGTTATAATTTCTTTAAAGTAGTAAAGGAGAAGCTGGTCTATCTCCGTTGGTAACCATAGATAGTATGATTCTTTTTACAAAGGAAATTAGTGTATTCCTGATATTACACATTTCTATTACCACAGGAATGCCACTCTTTTGCACACTGCTTGGCTGGGGGTTCTGCAAGCATTGCCACTTCATTCATTTTCACTCCGAGTGAGCGCATTAAACAACAGATGCAAGTGGGCTCCCACTATAAGAACTGCTGGTAAGTTATGTTCCTGAAATACATTAGTCATCCCATATCTGATTCCACCAGCTTTTGGATCTGTCTGATTCTGTTTCCCACAGTTTAATGATTTGAGAATGCTCCAAGCCTTTGGGTGCTTCCTGTCTGTGTTTAAGTATGCATCTGTTGCCTAAGTATCCTGCAACTCATGTTCTTTTTCAATATATATATATATATATATATATACACTCATATGTTCCTCAAGGTCTATCCTGGATAGAATTGAAGAAAATTCTCAATATGATCTTTGTTGCTACAACATGTTTAAGTTTCAGTTGGTCCTCAGTATTATGAAGTCCGTCTCACAAAATTGAGATAACTCACAGGAAAAGGTAAACTGAGGAATACTTGATTAACCTCAATAGGGTTATTGATGTCTTAAGTTAATGCTTCTTTGTTATGTGACGAGCACAAATTAGACATTATTTTCAAGCGCTTCGTTAGTCAAATATAGTATAGAATAATTATTGTCTCCACATGGATTGGTACATTAATGCCTCAAACGAACTTTGCTAAGTTTTTATATGGAAAATATTAACTGTAATTTGATGCGGTATTACACCATGACTATCAAATATACTTTTAACTAGTGTTGATTTAAATGAACTTGGGAATTATGAAATAACGATTGATAGGAGAATTAAATGATAATGACTAGACAGGTGCAAAAGAAATAAGCAGGATCAACTAGTTTTCAAGGTTCTTATCTGAGTTTTCTTTGCTTTTGGCAAATTCAATGACTGACTAGCATGTCCTCTATATTAGGACACGTCTTTCGAATGAATTTGATATCTTCAAACTCAACTAAGTAAATGCAGAAGAACATTTGCAAGAATAAGCCAATGGAATTGTAAAAGAAAAACTTCCCATGAATATTTTCCTATATTAATTTTAAGAACAATTCAAGAAGCTCTTTCAATTACTGAAAAAATTGCTATACTAAATCATACTCTAGTAGCATAGATTGTCAGTATTAAGCTTCTCTTTTGATTAAACTAAATAAGAATAACTATGCTTATTCTTCATACTCCATTAACAAAATCTAACAATTTAAGCAAGTCGAATCCATGAATTACACCTAACACACCATGTCACAAACCCTATGAGGAACTACTCCATAAAATTAGACAACCTAGTCAAAGAAGAAATAAAATTAGAGTTCATTACAACGAACTATCGATCCAAACTGCTGTATTGAATTGAAATGATGATGAAAGTATTGAAATTCGTTGTCTTCAACCCTTAATGCTTACTCTGACTTCCCAACATCCAGACCCCTATTACTTGCGTTTTTGGAGTATTTATACCATGTACAAAAGATCCCCAACCAAAATACCCTTCAAAAGACAACTTGAAAAAAATCTGGCAACAAAATGCCTGATGCAACATGTTGGCCCAGGCCAATTTTCCAGGCCTCTGGATTTCTCGGCAGGGAGCAGCACACAAGGCAGGCACGGTGCACCAAGCCATTTTCCAGTGTCGTCATCTACTTCATTCTTTCGCATGCATCTCGGTCCTTGAACCTTGAACTTGATCCCGTTTGAAATCCTCTTGGACCTCTACTTAGACTTCAAAGTACCAAGACATCTATCTAAGCTCCAAAATTGCTCAAAAATCTTAGAAACAAGTCCTACAACCAAAACACATGTAATAAGCACAAAGCATTAAACATTATAAATCAAACACTATTAAAATGTAGTTAAATAAGACGAAATGTATCTAGGAACTTATGTTTCTTGCATACCATCATTATGTGGTCTGCTTTAACCCAGTAATTCTGTTATAGTCATTTGCTACTTCAAATCAGTACTCTAAGGAGAGGAGGACTATTATTACCTACTGACAAGTGACAACATCTTGCTTTCTCATTTTTGCATCCTCAGGAGTGCCTTAATTGTGATTACAAGAAGTGGTGGTTTGCCTTCTCTGTATGCTGGATGGAAAGCTGTACTCTGGAGGAATATTCCACACTCAATCATTAAGGTAAGTTTTGACTTTAGCAATCTGTCCCTGTGCCCTTTTGGAGAGAATCGAGGAGCAGGAAGTTGATTGCTTTATATTCTCATTCATCCAAGTTTGACATCATCATTCTTTTTAGCCTTCTATTGCTCTTTTATATTTTACATTACCATTTTGACTGGCAGTTCTATACATATGAAAGATTGAAGGAGTTGAGGTTATCATCAGTTCAACTACGCAACCAAAATGACACACTAATGACAGTTAGTTTTCTTACTAATGAGTAGTCCTATGTCTACTTTTCATCTTTGCCATTATCGGGCTCATGATAGATAATTTGCTGGCACTTACATTCTCACATTTACTATTGGCTTTAAGGAATGATGGTCAAGGTTATCGTTTTAGTTAGTTAAGTTTGTAGTTGAGTCAATGGAGCCTTAGTGTTCTTGGTTTCATTGTCTATTGCAAAACAATAAGGTTTTCCTCAGTTGTTTTCTCCTCCTTCCAGCTTGCCTGTGGAGGATTAGCTGGCTCTACTGCTGCACTATTCACAACTCCCTTTGATGTTGTCAAGACAAGATTACAGACACAGGTAATTCATCAAATGTGTTTCCTTCTTGTTCACTAGATGTCAGAATGTCTATAGTTTCCTTGAAACTGGGATTAAGTTAAATCCTTCTGAAAGTGTTCTGTTGCTGTGCTTCACATCCCTTTTTCCTATTTAATTGATTGTTATTTATGAAATTGATTCAAGACTGTTATGAGTGCCTTTGGAAAGCGTCAGCTACTGTACTTAACATCTTACCCCTTACACTATTTGTGTGTCTGATTTGTAAAGTTCCTAAATAAGTCTTGGTTGTGCAGATTCCTGGATCTATGACTCAGTTTGGTGTATTCGGCACACTTCAAGAAATTGCAAAACGTGAAGGTTTGAAGGGTCTCTACAGGTAATGGTTGGATAGTATGTTGAAGTAACTTAATTGAATAATACCTTCGGGTAGTACTTAATTATCAATCTGTGTATTAAATATTTAATACGCACACTTATCCCATCCCATAATATATTTTTAATGATGACACATACTCTAGTAAATCAGTCTGTTGGACGCGGTATCCTACCAAACTGACTGTATTGGTAACTTAATTGTCTGCGCTGTCACCAAGTCATGCTGAATGAATACCAGCAGCGTTTTAAAAGCATACTATGCTAACCATTTTATTTGTTCTGGTTATAATGAACCTTGATTTCATGGCAGGGGCTTGAGTCCTAGATTGATCATGTATATGACCCAGGGAGCACTTTTTTTTGCATCTTATGAATCTTTCAAGAAGATATTTTCTTTGGATATCCCGCAGCCTAAAACAGAAACAGTTCCATATGAACATAAGGAAGATGATCATGCAACGTTGCCTTCACGAAGCTAACAAAGGAAACATCAGTTCAAGGTAGTGCATCTTTGCAGCAATGTTACAAGTGAGGAAGTATGATTTTCAAGATTAACATGGATATCACCAAACAGATGATGAAGGAAACTGGATTGCTAATAGAAACATTGTAGGTTCATTATCCATTGAGTTTTGAACCGTTTGTCAGCTAGCCCTACTTTTGTAGTATGATTGTAAAACTCTAACTTATTTGGAATTGAGGTATAGTTGATTGATTGATTGATTGATTTCGCTGAGTCTGCAACAATGTAAATATTTCTTGTGTAGCCTTAGCTTTATAACATTATTATTATTTAAAGAAATGAGTTTTTTCCTTTCTTTGTTGGTTACCATAAACATTGATGACAAGTGCAAACTAACAATTACTTTTCCAATAAAGACAATAGAAATAGCAACTAACACATGTGGAGTTTTGGGGAGGAAACGGTGTATGTAGATCTGCAAAGAGACTGTGCCAACAAACGAAAATAGAAGCCTATGGTATTACTAGTGGCTCAAGTAAACCAATGTCTTACCTAACAACAAAAGTGAAGTGTAAATTAAAACCATTTTCTATTAAATTATGGACAAATATTTTACGAACATTCAAATGAAGTGTATTTGGAATTGATTAAAAAAAAATTGTTTTTTGATAAATATATATATACATAAATGACAACTTCCTTCAACAAAGTCGTTGTAGTATAGTGGTAAGTATTCCCGCCTGTCACGCGGGTGACCCGGGTTCGATCCCCGGCAACGGCGTTTAACTTTTAATTTTTCCTCATTTAAAATTTTTAAACGAGTAAGTCATCCAAAAGTTTATCGAAAACAACTTCTTTACCTCACAAGTTAGTATGAATAAAATTTGTGTAACTTTTAATTTTTCCTCATTTAAAATTTTTAAACGAGTAAGTCATCCAAAAGTTTATCGAAAACAACTTCTTTACCTCACAAGTTAGTATGAATAAAATTTGTGTACACTCTCGGAGACAAATGCTCTATCTCACAAAGTAGAAAAATTTTAAACGAGTAAGTCATTCAAAAGTTTATCGAAAACAACTTCTTTACCTCACAAGTTAGTATGAATAAAATCTGTGTACTCTCTCGGAGACAAAAAGCTCTACCTCACAAAGTAGTAGGATAAACCATTCGAAGATTTATCAAAAATAATTTATTTACCTGACAAAGTTATTAAGAATAAAATTTATGTACACTCTGGTCGTATCAGGAGGCCATTGGCCAGTCAAATGTCATTTTATTCAGAAAAAAAAGAAGAGAAGAACTACTACATCTCTCTTGAAAAACAATAATTTACTGTAAGGATTATGTTTTCCTTCCCAACAACAAAGAGACAAAGAAAGTCCTTTTTCAAGAAAATCAATTATTTTGTTTCATACTGGCCATCATGAAAAGCTAAACATTTTTTATGAAATCAGAAAAAACATGCAACTGCCTAAAGTCCAAACCGATATGTTTTACTCGAGTCGAGGATCTATCTCTCAAGGTAAGGTAAGATTATGTACACACAATCTTTCCTAACTGCACTCGTTGAATACACCAGGGTAGGCTAAGGTTACGTGCACACAACTCTCCTTAACCCGACTCATTCCATACACCGGATATGTTATGTTGTGGTTGTTGTTTGAAGTCCAAACAAAGGCTGCAAATTGTGATTTACATCAAAATATTCTCAGAGATGCTGCAATTGCATTTGAATGGCTCAAGAGCTATTTATTTCCCACAATAGTTTACTTACATTAAAAAAAAATCTACTAACTCATACTACAAGGAGTGTTCAAAATTTCACTTATGATATTCTTTCCTTGAGCACCTTGTGGCCATCATAAATAAATTACAAGTAGGCTAATTCTTATATTTGAAATTTTTCTATAGTTGAAAAAATTGAATTGAGATTCCTATGCCTTCCCCTATCAACTAACAATATAAACAGTATGGTGTTGTGGCATCTCTAAGATTTTGACCCTATTCCAGAAGAAAGATAACAAAACATGATCATCCAGCTGAAAATCAGATTTTCACGAGCTCGTGGATACTGCCTCGTGTGCACCATTCATCATATTGGTTCCTCTCATGCACATAGAAGTTGCATCCAGATGATCTCGAGTTCACAAAGCAACCAGTGTTTGTATGGAACTCGATATATGCCTAGCTGAGTGAGTCGTTCAAGACTATACTCGACCAATTGGAGAGAATGGTGGATTGAGCACGAAAGATGGGAATACTTGTTCCGCTTTCTTGTGTACTTTCTGTTTCTTTTCCTCTCTAGCTGGATTGATCAAGCCTTTAATGTCATCATCCTGAACAAAAAACCGCAATGTGTTGGATTGCAAAGATTCTATGTCGTTCTCTTGTCCCACAGCAATTGAGGTTTCCATAGAATGCAAAATCGAGACACAAATAGAGAATGCTTGTAATGCAGATAACTGAGCATGGAAATCAACTGAATATTGTCCATCCTCCTTAAGCGTCATGGTCAACGCTGGAGCTTTATCTTTTCTTCCCTGCATACAGTTTATTTAAAACAATGAATAAGGAAAAATCACTTCCAGGATAACACCTTATTAGTATTCAGTACTTATCGAGCAGATACTGTTTCCTATCATCTCTCCCTTCCAGGAGTAAGATAGATCATCCTTATGTGTGGTATTCTCATAGTTCAACATTGATTTGGCTTATATAGCTTGAGAACAATGATTTGGTTTCTTAAAACATGTTTACGAGTTGAACGTCGTCTCAACTCTAGATAAAGAACAAGAGATATACTCCCTCCGTTCCAATTCGCTTGTCTCACTTTCCTTTTTAGTATGTTTCTAAAAAAAGCATCTTTCACTTTTTAGCAACTCATTAATTCCAACTTTCCACATGACATGTTTAAAACTACATGATTAAAGGACATTCGTACATTCTATATATCTTAAGTTAGGACCATGAGTATCAAAAGTTCTTTTTACTTTCTTAAATTCCGTGTCTCAAAACCAGATAATCATATTGAAAAATGGAGGTAGTATCATATATGAATCTATTAACATGAGAAATTGATGATGAACTAGACTTCAACACTAGTGAATGATGAAATAGTTGTTATAAGTTATCATTGTTACTAAATATGAGAAACCTGAGCTCTAACTATTATATGCAATTACTTCCCACTGCATGGAACATAACCTTTTCACAAGAAATGCTCAATTAGCACCACTAATTATGTCTACCAAGATTGCCAAAGGTCTAAAAGATTTTTTTTAATGCAAATGCTTATGAGAAGACGTATGTTTAGGCAACAGTCAGAATATTACCTGAATGAAGAGTTCCAATGGCTGCTGCCTCTCGACCAGAGGACGATTGTCATCAATACGAATATTTGGATTGCCAAATATGTGAAGCGGGCATGCCATGTCCCAGCCGCCACAGTCACAACCTCCACCCATCCTCCATCTATCCAACAAGGGGGAAGGACCAGGACTTTCAGTTGTTGGAAGACCATGGTGTCCAGAAGGGATCACAACATTCACCTTGGCAGGGCTTACGTTATCAGAATGTCCAATTCTTTGCTCAACCACAGAAAGATCCAGTAAGTTTGGAAGTGGCTGATCAGCCTTTGCATCCCCACTTCTGAATTTTAAACTCTCTCTCTTTTCAAATGGTACCTCTATAGCAATAGCTGCAATTTCAACCTCTACGGCTTCACAATCAGCTCCAGATGACTTCTCATCTGAGGCCTTAGGTGCAATAGTGACATCAGGGGAAGAACAACAACTTTCTTGAAAAGAAACTCTTTTTCTTGAATGGGGAGTATCATACAAGACAAACTCTGTCACCATTGAGTTGTCGCAATCTCCAGCGTTTTTGATATCTGTACATAAATAACAGGAAACTTGCATCCGCCCAACCAACAACGGTTCTCTAACGCTATCTTTTGATCCCCATCCACCACTAGCATTGCTCTTCCTTTTGTGGTGAATAGAATGAAATGTGTACACCCAATTTAAGGTATCCTCAACTTTCCATGACTTCGCGACAAAACTATCTTCAGGTGACTTTACTGAGAACTCAAAAAAGGGCAAACCACCTCTCTTATCCGACCTGAGCAAGCCGTGTAAGTGAGCTGGTAAACTCTGCATATTTGAGTTACATTCCACTGGCTCTGGTATGCTTGAGAAATCATGCAATAGAGATTTATGAACTGTTCTGCCTCTACTGACGTTAACAGGCTCACTCTTAGTATCCGTGCCAGGTTCGAAAGTATAACTCAATGGACTTTTTAGAGACTTTGATTTACCAAATGGATCAAACATCTTTCTTATAGGGCTGAAACGGGATTTTTGGCTGCTAGTCCTGGAGCTATCACTTTCTGACCAAGCAGGTGAATGTGGTAATGCTAACTTTGCAGACAGTGATTTGGATAAAGACACAGATGGATCCCTATCCGTTAGTCTGTTAACTTCACATAGATGGTCAGCAATGGATTGAGACATGATTTTTGAATCTTGAGCCGACTGTCTTGGTGGAATTTGAGTCCTTCTATTTTCTCTATGATCAGAATTTAAAGAACTTCCTAGAGAGCTATCTGATGGTACATCGCTCTCGGGAATAAGCCTGAACGAGGATCTATGTTTGTCTATGAGTGAATTATCCTCAACTGAACCACACAAAACATCAACAATCCCAAATGAGAATGCATTGGCATTACCCCTAGAGAACTCAATTTTTCTTCTTTCCTCAACAGCATCAGTTTTCTTAATGCCTCTAACATCTCTAGAACTTTGATAGACAGAACCCCGCTTTAGGATATCGTTTCCTCCCAAATGTGATTTCCTTGATGGAGCATCTTTACAAGACACACTACGATACCGATGAAAGCTTATCTCAGTGAAGTCCCCATCTACAGACAATACTTCTTTGCTGCATTTGGAATTTTCTTTGCTTTTTCTCCTTTCACCTTTTAGACGGTGCCGCGGAGATGGAAGAACAGTTGTAGGACTTCCATCTACTACACAATACTTGTCGAAATCCAACTCCATAACTAGTCATATCAATTGATCTGCAACCTATCAAGGACAACATGGCAGGTCATTCACAGTAAAATCCAAAAACTACTGAGCACAATGCATTGCAATTCAAAACAAACATCAGAGAAATACAATTAATCACATAGGAGTTTACAATTTATAGGACTAAAATCTTATTCGGAAACAGCCTCTCTACCCCCACAAAGATCACCCTCCACATACCCAGACCCCACTTATAAGATTACATTGAGTATGCTGTTGTAGGACTTAAATCTTACAGGGCAACACTTTTATGAACTAAACCA